TTTTCTTATTATTTCACAACGTATGGTGGTGAATAAGTGTGACTTTTCAGGAAAACAAAAAATTGTTTGGGTGACCCCAAACTTTTGAACGGTAGTGTAGGTTTTAAGCACAAAATGTTGCAAAGCAATTTAGGCCCGTAATAAGTTAATACATCATAATTTAACCTCCTTCCTCCTTTTATAGAGTAATGTTGAGGGAAAAAAGAAATCTCTTTTACCATAACTTAGAGGTGCAAACATGTATTTGAATACACCCAACCTACTGAGCTCAATTTTTGTACCTGATTTGCACCTTACTTTCAAGCATGTATTTCCATTTACATATTCTCTGCCAAGTATTTTGTGCAGTTTTCCCTCAAGCCAATGACCTGCATATTCAGAAAGGCACACACATATAAAAGTTTTAGTACCCACAGGTTTTCCCATTTTACTCACACAATATAATATGCACCTGGTTTGAAGATCAGTCTTTCACAAGTTAAACAGTATGCACACGATTTAAACTTTAACGGAAAAGTCCGGTCAGCAAGGAATAACCAATGGATCATTATTTATACCTAAAACTAATATGTTCACTGTGATTTAATGAATTTAGCTTTAATCAGTAAAAAAACCTAAACAATATTTTTCACTCCTGACATCTTCCAGCAGTGACGTCAAGGTGCGGTAAGCCTAGTGCCATTGTTCCTACTTTACAAGCAAAATCAATTGACGCTTCTATACAAATGTGCAATCAACAACAATTTGAGAGGACTTCACTATTAAGATTTGCGAGAGCTGTAGTTAAAGTAACAATGCCTATGTGGATACATCAGGTAAAAGTGAAAAAAAATTAGTTATTTGATTTTTCCGATTCATGATCCTCCATGGACGGATTCGTCATTGGATTGCCAAATTGAAGAGGGAGGATTTACCATTGAACTTCTGGCCAGAGAAAAAACACGTCATTGATCCGTTACGCTCTGCTTCGAATATTGCACTGGTCGTCATGGATAATAGCACGTTGTGACAAACACCAGATACAGCACTGGGACTTGCTCAACAGCCGATACCGCACTGTGACGTCACAAACCGGTAGATGGCAGTAGTGCTCTTTGAAAAACATAGATGTCTCCAGTAAAGCACAGTCAAATTAAATTACTCTTAATTTAAAAAAAACGTATCATCTATTGAAAAATATGTAATAATTTCATACTTAAAGTACGTTTGGAAGTTTGTTTTCTGAAAGTGACCGGACTTTTCCTTTAAAGGTCAGACTCTGAATGAATTCCCTTTGATATTTTGCTCAATTAAAAAACACAATCCTTGATTTATTTTGTGTATATTATCACGTTAAACCTTTAGTCAATCAAACTCTGTATGTAATATATTGGGTCAACTTTTTTTTTTTCTTAAATTCAACAGGATGACTCTTGCAGAAAAAGTGCCATGCCTGTGGTTTTTGTCTCCGGCTCCCAGAAAGGAATGCCTGTCCTACTCCATCAGTGAGTCCTCTCTCAGGGACTCCATCATCAGTAGACAGTCCAACACTTCCCGGACTCATTTTATTAATGCTTCACCAAACCGCATTGATATGGTAATATTTGCACAACAAAGCCTTAATTTACCCACAATTATGAGTTTTATTCCATTTAATTTGAATTAAATATAAACCTATTCCGCCTGTGTTTTTAAACTGTGGATTCAAATCATGTTATTAATGTGGTGAAGCACTAGTAAACATATCAATGAACTGTTATTCAAGCCATACACATAGGACCCAATTAGTCAGATGGTTAAAGATCCCAATTATTGTAGCTCATCACTCGTTGTACAGGTGAGTATCTGATCAGGACTCTAGCAAAAGAAATCAAAGATTTCCAACACTAAAATGATTCAATTGCACTTGCAATTATTTACATATACAAAACTACCCCTTGACACACACTCAAAAGGGATGCTTTTGAACATAAAACATAATCCTCTCTTTAAACAGGCTTGAGTTGCTCTGTAAAAAGATAAATGATTATACTTTTTACTGCCATTCAATATCAAATGTCTCTTGTGTAAGCCATGCACTTCATTGGGTGAGTGCTGAGCATACCGGGCTCAAAACTTCCAATCTTCCCCAGATCCTCTACCAAATTTCCAGGCTTAAGTGTGGGTGCATGGTTCCAGTGGAAGCTGATAGTACCCTGGGAATAAAGGTACACATCATTAACTCCAAATACCCCAGGGTCCATTTTAAGGATCTTTTCTCCTTATCAGTCAATGTTTTATCTAATTGGGCTTTTCCACTAGATGTGTATCTTTTTTGGGGTTCCGGAACTTGAGTATGTAGGGTACAAGGACCCCTATCGCCTGAAAACCCAATTTCCATTTTATAGACACTTCGTCCTTATGATACAGGAAAGGTTCTCACGAAGAATTTTTACAAGATGAATCAATTTTTGAGCACCTCTACAGGTATATTCCATGTGCTTCTTCCCCTCCCACAGCAGCTCAAGTTTACATTTTCCATTCTTTAACCCAGCAGCCCTGCTGCTTCCTGGATGACCGTAAAGGACTTTTAAAGAGTTGTTTCTGTGTTTTAGCAGCCGTTCCTGGGAAAGGGATTCATTGTAGTTCCCCCATTAAGACAAAGGGGTGACAAACTGTTTAATTTTCCTTAGTAGCTATTCTTAAGTAACATACATACAGCCTTCAATTTGTTTGATTTTTTGAAGCTCCAAAGCCAATTTCCAGACTTAGTTGTGGGTATTCGGGTCTCGGAGGATAGAAGAGTAAACTTGGGAATCAAGCTACAATCACCTCTTCTCTTTGAGCTCCCAAGATGGATTTATCTTGACCTTATGTTAATTGTGATCCAGGGTGGGTTCTCATAGGCATGTTGTGGGAGCTCTAACGGTCTTTGACAAAGCCCTCATCATGCCCACCTGTTCTCTCAGGTTATTTAAATTGTTTCGAAATCCGGCTCTGAAATGCAGCAGAAAGTCAGGATGTCTGAGCGCTCCAAAGGACTGCGTTAAGGTCGCAGTCTCCAATGGAGGCGTGGGTTCGAATCCCACTTCTGACATGGCCTTTCTGCTTACTTGGACTTGTCTTCTACCAAAAGGTTGCCATTTGTGTGCTAGAAAGCATTTACCCATTAAAGTGTGGATTTTAATTCTGTTACTAATGTGGTGAAGCACTCTAAAACATATCAATGCACACCTTTTCAAGCCATATAGTTAGGACCCAATTAGTCAAATGGTGAAAGATTCCATTTATTGTAGCTCATCACTGGTTGTACAGGTGTGTATCTGATCAGGATTCCCAGCAAAACAAAGATTTCCAACACTAAAGTGATTCAATTGCAGTTGCAATTATTTACATATACAAAACTACACCTCAACACACACTCAAAATGGATGTTTTTGAATATAAAACATAATCCTCTCTTTAACCAGACTTGAGTTGCTCTGTAAAAAGATAAATTATTATACTTTTTACTGCCATTCAATATCAAATGTCTCTTGGGTAAGCCATGTACTTCATTGGGTGAGTGCTGAGCATACCAGGGCTCAAAACTTCCAATCTTCCCTAGATCCTCTACCAAATTTCCAGGCTTAAGTGTGGGTGCATGGGTCCAATGGAAGCTGATAGTACCCTGGGAATAAAGTTACACATCCCTAACTCCAAATACCCCAGGATCCCACTTCTGACATGGCTTTTCTGCTTACTTGGACTTGTCTTCTACCAAAAGGTTGCCATTTGTGTGCTAGAAAGCATTTGCCCATTAAGCACTTTCATTTGCCCTTGCCATTTGTTAAGGAATCTGAATTTGTTTAATTTGCTACCTAATTTGTTTTATTTTCTCTATTTTTTCACTTTCGCTATGTTCCTATCTACAGCTGTCTTATATACCATAATTATTCAACGTGCAAGTAAAGTCAAACATTTTGATAATGTTTTTACAGATGTTGAAGGATGTAGAAATGGAATATCTTGGGAGGCAGTCGGGAGGCTCCTTTAAAAGCGTGTCATCATACAGGTCGTCATATAGAGGCAGATCCAGTAAGAGGCCATCTGAGCCCCAGATGATCAACAACTGCACATCAAAGAAGGTGAGATAATGTAATTCAGTTAATTATGACTTTGATTTGGACCTTATTGCTTAAGCAAACTGCAAAATAACTCATTTACATTTTGTTATTATGTCCACGTATATAGCAACAAACTACTAAGATTGACCCACTGAGCACCCATGACCATGGCCTGGTTTCCAGCTCTCTGAGCATCACCACATTACCTTTACTTGTTCTTACCAGGAGACGCAGTGAGAGCCTAACAGATGGGACTTTACACACATACAATGACAAAAGTGACATAGAGCGGCTGCAAGGCCAGAAGAGCAGCTCTTTTGATTCTCTGAATCTTGGGAAAAAGCCCATTACTGACCCCAAGTTGCCTCAGAGTGTTCCTCGCATAATTGTCATCAGTCCGAGTTCTGAAAGCAGCATCATCCACCATGATGGCGTCCGTTTAGAAGACAGCATTGAAGCAATGGAAAACAATGTTTTTGTAAGTCTAAACTTCTCAACAGAAGTATTTGAGGCAGTGAAACTACTCTCTTGACCACATGGAAGTATACATGTTCAACTTTGGACTAAAAGACAATCAAATGGACAGAGGTAAACTTCTAGGTCTTTTTTGACGTTGCGCTGAAGTTTTCTGACTGTCCCCTTTACCACAGCAACTATAGAGTAGAAGAAACTGAAATAAAACGACATAAACAGTTTTTAGCACAATGCAATCTTTGGCTGGGAAAGATGAACCTGAAAAGGACAACTTTTTATTTTTGAGTTCCCACAAAACAGAGCACTGAAAATAGAGTTTTCTACGCTTAATATGCCACTTGAAATGTTTCCTCTGTTGAATTGAAATGATTTAGATTTAAAAGTCCTTAGAATATTCTCCCTAAGCTATTCATAAAATCTAAGAATATATAACGAAGACCCTAGAAAACAAAAGTGGGGGTGCAATAAAAGCATATGATTTTCGTTCACTATTGCACCTTTAAATCAGTGAGAAACTGAAGAAAAACCAAACCAATCGCATGTTAACATGTGCCTAAAATTAAGATATTCATTTTTAATGTTGTTACAAAAGAGCCATATGTACCAGATTTGTACTGGCAACAATTCAGCAATGTAATGAAAAGTGAAGCAGTTCAAACCCTCAGGAAAGGAAGGATATCTTCTATAAAACCTCACATTTCTATTAATCACTCATCCATTCTGATAAAACTATCCTATGACATTTAATAATCGTACAAGTTAAACAGCATTTAGCAAAACCAGAGGATTAGCTGGAGGTTTCCTTCTATTAAACTTGCTGCAAAGTTAAATCATTATATTATGTTTGCTTCATGCTGGTTCAGGAGGAGCAATTGCTTCTCTCAGTAACTGGTAGCAATCAGGTGGATTTTCCTTACATAGAAGACTTTTAAACAATTCACATAGATATCACAGTAAAAACCTCTTATTCATTTCTGTTAACATTTATGTTTAAAGCAATTGGTATATGCTATAAAACAAGCACTAAACATAATTTTGAAATTTATAAATGTTGGCCTACACAAGACTGCTGGCACCCTCCAAAAGCAATATAAGAACAAGAGTTCCTTTGTTAAAGAGGCTTGGATTTTCCAAGATGTGTTTTTAAATATATTTCTGGAAATTGGAGTTGAAGGCAAAGTTGTTGCAGAAAATATGTAATCTGATTTAAATGATTGATATGATTGTTAAGAAAAGTTGATTTAATGGTGCAATTTCCTTATTTTTGCTATGAGATCATTTGTGATCAGTTGAGAGGCTTTTTAAATGATGTTTCCACTGTCCATAATGATTTGGGAAAAGTTTCTTTTGACTAATGTTGGTCAGCTTTGTTTTCTCATGCCCTAATGGCTTGATATACATTTTTTCTATCCACTATAGAGAATTTTATGCTTTTATTTGCTGACTAGCTTTATGTAAATGCTGATTTGATTTCCAGTATTGATACTTGAACTGAAAAAAATTATGCAACCGCTTTTGGCATTTACTTAATGATATTTAGTCACTAGTTTTATGTCCTACCCTGCTAACATGAAACAATTGTGTTAAAGTAACTAAATATGATGCCAAAAATGGTTGCATTATTTTTGTCAATGTGTCCTCACTGCCAAATGTTGGTTTACGGGCCATGCTTCTGCTTGATTAACCTACAAACAAGGTCTAAACTAAATCCATATTGAACAAATAGAATATTTTGAGGAAGACAAAATACATCAGATCCAACAATGGAAATGAGCTGTAGGTAGTTATTACAGCATAACAACCTGGGTTTTCTAAACACCTCAAAAGAACCACAGGCTTTTCACGTCCATGCCGCAATGCAGTTATTCATGGAAAACAAGCCAAAAGCTAGTATTTAGTTAATATTATGGTATCGATTATGAACAGATTTTTGGTAGGATAACATTTCTGTATCAAAGATCCTTTTTTGGGGGTTTTGTCTTCTTCACATCATAATAAAACAGCAAAAGCAGCAACCACACTATGTAAAACTACAAAATGGAAGTAAGGAGATAAGGGTGTAAGGAGTTGATAACAAAAAGTATAATAAAGTTATTTTAGCATTATTCATTATTTAAACCAATAAACACATGAACATACAGTATATCAACTTGGTTTTCAGAATTTGTATTATATGTAGTAATAAGGGTGACATTTTTTGAAAAATAAAGTAAGTTTTTAAGGAATTTAAAATGTGTTCTACTAAACATTTATATCATCTACTATTTTATTTTAATTTTTTTGGTTTCCTTTTACAATTTCTTGGTTTTTGGTTGGAGAGCAATTGGAAGCCAAAACCATTAAAGCTCATGTGCACTTTTGCATTTTAAGAGTATTAATAGTTGTGTGAAATGTTTGCTAAATGTTAACAGTTCTATGGATTCTATCACTAAAGGTAACTTGTAAAAGGTATGACAAGAATGTTTTACTGAAAGAAAATGTTTTCCAGTCTGAAACTGTGCAGCTTTTAGCCATGTTATAAACTTAAACCAATATTGCATGATATCCATCTGTCACCAGTTCAACCTAATTCTAACAAGAGATTAAAATCCAACATTGAGTGCATAAAAACATTCATAACTGTTGAGGGGATCGTGGTTACCCATTACCCTTTTTGAAACAATTTAACAAAGTAAATAGATAAAAACAACTGAGGTTTTTACAGAGGTTTGCATTTGTAACAAATAATGTATATATTCAACAAACTGCTTTATCTAGTATTCCATCTTGCTCATGCCGGTATCAATGTCGACCGCAGCTTTTTTTCGTCAGTGTCTGTAGATATGAAGCCAGGAGATGTAATACTCGTTGATAATGTAAAGAGTAGCTATATTTATGGAAAGAAATGCTGTCCTACCTTGCATAGTTTGCACGTTTTCTTCATATCATTGTCACTGTTGCTCTCAGAAATAGTTATGTGTCATTTTCTTAGTGTTTATTCTTTAAATTGACTTTTCCCTTGTTCTTTTGGTAATTTGTTATAGATAGGTTGTGTAAAGGTTTAAGCATCAGACTGATTGTGCTGTATGTTCTGCTGTTTATCTCAAGCTTTCCTATTCTTGGTACAACAATATATATCTATATTGTTTAAATAGGAACAACATAAGAGTTTTATGAACCCTATGAAAGTTTTTTTTAAATAAAAGATGTATGTGATTAAAAGTAATTAACTTGTTTTTACTTATACTTTGCCTTTCCAATTTTACAATAAGGTAGATAAATAAGAAGGATGTGAGTACTCTGAAATTTCAGCTTTTTCTAAACTGAGGGGAACCAAATTTTAGTTTTATATTTTCAGTAATGAAGAATCACAAATTTGAAATGTTCACCTGTTTAAGATATTGGTAGAATTACAAGTCAGCTGAAAGGCTCTTTAAGATTGTAGATGGGTAAGTTAGTGGACAAGCTTTTTTTGGTCTTAACTAAAAAAGTCTGTCTACTTTCCTTTTGACTGGAGAAAAACATCTATTTTTAAGAGGAATATTTTACAAATAAAAGTTATGCAGTTATGCATATTTGATCATATTGGTACTGCAATCTCATTTAAGTGTTGTACTTGCAGAAAAAGCCAGCAGAGGGAGTAAGAGATCAACATTCAAAATGTAGAATTTATTGTTATGTTTTTCGTTTTCCTATTTTATGGTCAAACTTTTGCTAGTTCTAGGATGAAAGTAAACAAGGCCTTGGGGAGGCTCAAAAATTGAAAAGTTATTGAAAAGATAAATCATTAGTTTAAAAAATGTTATCAAAAATGTATAAAGCCTTTAGAGGAAATGCTAATTCAAAAAGGTATTCAAAAAAGTATTTGACTGATTTATAAAGGCAATCAAATCCTTTGAAAAACTAAGCTGTAACGTTGCTATTTTCCCTCTGACTAGTTTAGTTTCTTTCAGTAGAAGCAACCCGATTTTTTTTAGGTTGAAAACCTTGAATGACTATTGTGGAATAATGCAGAGCTTTCCCAACAGGTTAAAATATTTTTGACATCTTCTTGTAATTATTATAAAATCAATCTATTATTATTTTTCTGTTGATTTAGTAATAGATTCACTAAAATATAATCATTTTTTTCTTACAACTGGCCTCTGTTTTGTTTTTTTGGGGCTGGCTGTCTTACTGTTGGCCAATCTGCTCTTCAATTGATATTAAGAGAGAACGGATACACCTGCTTCTTTCCTAATCACCCTCATTCCTACTAGCTATTATCCTGCCTATATATAGACCTGCTTTTCACAGTCACTCTCTACCAGATTGTCTTGTTGTCTGTATAAGCTATGTTCCCAGTGCTGGTGCACACTGCTTGCTTATGCTTCTGTGCCCACTCTGTCACTGCTGGGGGTTTCCCCCCAGTGCTTGTCTGCACTGCCTTTTTTCCTGTAGTCATTTTCTGGCCCTGTCCTCAATGGATCATCAACTTCTGACTCTGTTTGCCTCTGCCTGCCTGCTACCATCCCGTTAAATCCAATATCAGCCTGTCAGCCTTCCTGGTCTTTCCTGCTTTCTATCAGTCTGTCTAGCCTACCACCAGCCTGTTTTTTGTTCTCTGTTTTCTTATTCTTAACACATATATCATGCCATTAAATAAGACATTGACAGAAAAAAATAATTTTCTGCTACTCCACAAAACCAACATGTTGTGATTAGCAGTACAAAGGTTAATGAAATGAGGAAGATAAAAAGGGAAAAGAAAAAAATATATATTGTCTGTGACTTTTCCCAGCATACCCTCATGGTATTGTTGTTACATACCAATGATATGAAGATAAACACAATTTAATTTTGTTAGACAACAATATAGAAGATAACAGTAAACTAAGGTTAACGATGAGAATCTTTATCTTATTTATTCAACTAGATATTTACGTTAAGTTGTATTTTTTTATTCCCCAGAAAACTCATGTCTAACAATTTAAAAGATGCTGTTAAGTTCTTATATTGTTTTATTTTATTTTGCAGTGTAAGGACTGCATAAATCATATTCACATAAGATCAGAGTTTCTGAGCAACATTATGTAAGAT